ATACAATGGGACAGCTAGCTTTGTCATTTTGTGTTACGTTTCTCTAATTACTTTATCAAAGATCCATTAAAGATTTAATGTATGTAAAACTAATATGCATTTCAGAATAAAAATGATCACCCCATTTGAAAAAAATTTAGAATTAATAGAAATGTTAAAATATATATCAATTCAAAAATTTAAGTTGTAAGGTAAAGTTTTAATAATACTTTTATATTATTGTTCAGTAAATAATTTTAAGTTCAATTTTTTTAAACTTGAAATTTGTATATAATTTTAAATTTTAATTAAAAAATAATGTAATGAAAATTCATAATAATTTAGTTATCAAAACTTTGATTAGTTCAATTGAGTTGAAGCAGACAAATCAAATTACAAAAATAGTTTTATATAAACTCTTTAATAAGTAAATTTAAATTTAAGATAACTAGGGGATTTTGTAGGTAACTAATTTCAATATAACAAAAATAATAAACATTTTGTTAAGGATAATTAAAGCCTACATGCATGGTCCATCTTGATAAATCAACAAGAAAATGAATTTCGAAGCTCATAGATAATTGAGTGGCTGGGGTTGTCTCAAATCTTCAAGGCACCACCTACCATTAATTGTTTAAATAAATGTTGGTTGTATTTTTTCTGTTTCTTTTTCTTGTCCAATCCATATTTTTTGAGCTTCACGGAAAAATAGATAAATAAATTTGAAGAGCATGCTTCCAATCTTTAATCACGATCTTGGATTAAAATAGCTTGACTACAAGAGCAGCACCTTGTCAATTTGAGAGCTAGAAACAATAATTGTCACCTTACCATGCGAGGTGACTCATAATTTTCTTAATTATTGAAAGAAAAACACTACATTGGGACTAAAGCTATCCATGTCGTAATTATTAAAATGTCAAATGAAGGGTTTGATATATATATATATATATATATATATATGAACATGTTAAACTTGTTAATTTTGTGTACATTTCTTATGAAGAAAATCATATCCTCAAGATTACTGACAATGCCATTTCAACTTGCTGATATACGTATCTAGAAGAGCAAGATAAATGTGTATGCCTGTTCGTGAGCAAAACTCCATGTCATGACGCTGCTAGATTTCTTGCTTTACGGCAATCATCTCCATTTGCGAAGATGATTGGTCTTTGTTGTGGAAAAAATTGAACTTTTGTCATATTTCGCGGGTGCTTTTCTTGAAAAGTAGCTGTCATTGGGTTCCTTCTTTCAACACCAAATATATAAGAAATTGAGATTACCAAGTCTTTTCGTGAAAGAATAATTGGATTAATTAATAGAGTACTAGCTAGCTAGCTAGCAGCCATATGTTCACTGAATTTCTCCCCTGTGATTTCTTTTCATTCCTCTAAAGAGAATCTGTGAAATAATATCAATTTGTACGTAGTGAGATGGGGAAGAAATTGATTATTGTGGCCACATGCATAGCGTTTAATTGAATTACTCTGAATGTGGAACGTGAGTTTTGCAGGTGGCTGCAGATGGCATTCCTATTGAAAGGTTTTTGAAGCAATGAATTTTGCTATGCGACTCAGAAATTTCAATAGCCTTGTGATTGATTTTTTTTTTCTTAAAAAAAGTGCTTAAAAAGCTAAGCTCGTGGACTATATATATATAATCCCGTTGCTTATGGAGTAATAGTGTTTAAATCATCATGAGCTTGTCTTTTCTTTCAATTGGATGGCTTTCATGGATATTTTTGTTTTTGATGAATTGAAATAATAACTTTTTATATTAAACAAAAAGGTGTCTCTCTCTCTCTCTCTCTATATATATATATATATATATATAGAGAGAGAGAGAGAGAGAGAGAGAGAGAGAGAGAGAGAGAGAGAGAGAGAGAGAGAGAGAGAGAGAGAGAGAGAGAGAGAGAGAGAGAGAGAGAGAGAGAGAGAGAGAGAGAGAGAGAGAGAGAGAGAGAGAGAGAGAGAGAGAGATAAACCAATCATATATTAAACAGAAAATATTACGATTTTTATACGCATATAATAAATTTTATTCTATTTATGTTAGAATCGAAACTAAAGATATATTGATACACTGAAATTCATGCTAGTATTATCCATTATGAAGGTGTGCTGCATGCCTAGTGGTTACCTATCGACTGACTTCTGAGAAGTATTGCTGAGCTAAAATTGTTGACATTGAAGTTAACATGCTGGTTAATTAATTGCACCCACAAGATTCCAAGTAAATTATTTTGTTGGTCCCATGACAGGGCAGTGACGTTGAAAAGGAGGTAAATTTTCTTTACCAAGATGCAAGTGTCTGTCTGTGTTTGGTCATTGCTAAATTTTATTTATTTTTTTACTTGCTTTTGTTCTTCTTACAGGAATATGATATCAAATCATGCTGTAAAATTCCACTTCATTTCTGTAACAACGTATTTGAATGTGATTGATACCATTGAACTAGGGTTCTGGCTTGACCTGGGACATGTTCTGTTCTTAAGTTTTTGTCATGATGTTCCTTCAATTCAAAACAAGAAATTAGATCTTGATGGTTAAATTCAGAGGCTTTTTGAGTATTATCAAAGGGTTGTTGGTATATGGTTGACTAGAAACAATCACATATAGCAGGTTTTTGTTTTTAGTTATGAAAATGATGACCACATTCATCACCATCTACTGATAACAAAATCCATCCTTAAAGTTTTCATTTTGATCAATTAATTTTGTTCATATTCATCGATCATAAGTCGATCAAGTTAAATAATTTAGAACATGTACTAGGAACATGAATTTGATCGCACACAAGAACTTGAATCCATATTTCTTGCAAGGTATCCCTTCTCGACTTGATATTTACGCTGAAGATTTGGGTGGTTGTGGTGCAGTGTATACGAGACCTCCAATGTTAAGACTTCAAATCCAAGCTTTTTGACAAAGATTACTGATTAGTGGGATGGTTAATTTTTTATGAGATAACCCAGAGTTTTGAGTCTAATAAGAGAAAAGGAAAGAAAACAAGGTGGTGTGGTATGCGTTTAACAATTCCAGGCCCATTGTGAAAAAGGAGTACAAACACACCGATTTAACCCATGATGGAAGCCTCTTTTTTGGCAAGATTCAGCGTATATCACAGCTCTAGCTTTCAGAATCAGATCCATCCTCATACAGGGCTTCGTTTCATGTTCACTGACAGAGTGCCCATGTCAGCCTGGTTTTCTTGATGGATCTGCATTTGGAGGTCTAAATCTGACAGCAAGAAGAATCACTCCATTTCCATCCGTGCTCGCTTGTCATTCATATCCTTGATGGGCACAGGTATAGTTTCATTCCTTAATAGTTGGCCTGCTTCACGGTACGGGCCGCACCAAACAAAACAAACATCTCAGAAAGAACTTTTTTCTAACGCTGGTACGTAAATTCTAAAAACTTATGATCCGTCGTCTTGCGTTTGCCTCAGTACCACACACAGAAATTTTGACAAGTTTAAAGACAAGTATGACTAGAAAAAATATTCTCTAGGTTTAAATATAAATTTTAAAATGGTATAATTAAAAAAAAATGAAGAGGTGACTTATTTGATTAATTCAAGTTTCGTTGCATAGCATGTTGAATATGCAAATAATATCATAAATTTTATTATGTTTAATTTTTTAAAATTATTTTTTATTTAAACATATAAAAAATAATTATTAGTAAAATTGAGCACCAACTCAAAGTTAGGATTTTTTTTAAATTTTGATAACTTCATAGAAAATAAATTAAAATAAATTATGAAATTCAATTTATTATCAACTAAAGATAAACAGTCAAACCCGTGACTTAGATCATGGATGCAATTGGATTTAATAATTTTGATATATTTTTTTATTTAATTATATAAAAATAAAAATAGAAGCTTATAAAATCGAGAACAAACCAAATATAAGTGTTTTGATACAATTATAGGTTTTTCATAATTAAAACATTAAAATTATTTAATTAGTTCAAAAATCTAAAATTAATTCGAATCCAAAGTGATGGGAAGGCTAGAGAGTATCCTAGTAAAACTCATCTCATCAAATGAAAATTATTAACACTAATATCGATATTTTTTCATAGTTGAAATCTATGTAAGCCAACAATTTTTTTTCTGTTATTGAAATTGAATAATTATCTCTCTCATCTATCAAACCAAGAATTGGAATATAAAAAAATAAAATTTTGAAATAAAATTAAATTTTTGAAATTTTAAGGGATTGAAAATTTATCATTTGAAAATTATGAGGATCAAAGTGAATATTTTGCACCACCTATGAAATTGCCACCCATTTTCCTCTCTTTTTTTCTTTCTTTTTAATTTGCTCTTTCTTAGCAAATTATAAGCAATTGGATATCAATTTGACAACAAAAAAGATCAATTGAGGAGTAAGCAAAAAGTTTGATGACTAAAATAAAATAAAATAAAGAAAAAAAAAACATTGTGGATTCATGTAGAAATCATCTATACCTTTTAGTTTTTTTTCTAATTATATTTGTAGTTACTATAAATCTTAAATAAAAAGAATTCTATTTTGGGCTGTTCCAAGACACCAAGAAATTCCCATTGTCCCCTGACTCCCTGGTCTGGTAGTTCCAAACTCCTGCAAACAAAGTGGTTCAACCATATATTGGCACCACCAGCATCAGCAAGAGCCCAAGAGAACTGACTTGGAAGCTCATATTCAGCCCACTAGACCCCAGAATCTCACTTCTCTTTTCTGATCACATACTTCCACCCCACACCTTGTAAGATTTCTGGTTGCTTGACTGCCCGTATGTCAACATTAGCATCTTTTCCGAGTCTGATTGCGCCCTAATTCCCTTTTCTCCTTCTAGTTGTTGGCCCATGACTGCCGTTCCAAGTATGAGTTGACAAAAATCTATTCTCAAGTCTAACATCCGATTTTTCATATGAGAGTAATCACGTCTGGCAAGGACTTGTTTAATATTTTTCTTGAGAATCTACACTGTAATAATCAGCGGACAATGGCAACATATATATATATATGACAGAATATGCTAATATTTTCTCAGACTAAAAACTTAATTATAACATAAGAGAGAGATTTCAAGCACCCTGTCATGATTCACACTAAATATCAACTAAACTATCTTTCTTACAAGTAGCAGTCCTGCTGCTAGAGAGACTCCAAGAATCTGAAAAATCAACAGAAGATGCTGATGATGAGAACCCATTTCCACATTTGGCTACAGCTCTCACATTCTCAATTAACTCTTCAGTGCTAGCCTCTTGGGACAAAATCTCCAGTAGCTGCTCTGGACTAATCGCAAGCTTCACTTTCCAAAACCCATCATTACTTTTGTTGTAATTATTTTTGTTGCTGCTGCTGCTGTACCTAGAGAAAACTTCAGTGTATGACCTCTTTAACATGCCTTGATAATCTAAGGACATCCTATAAGGTGCAGCAATATTTGATGTAGCAGCAGCAGCTGGTATACTTTTTGATCTAACATGACCTTCTCTTACTATTTGGCCTCCAATTTTTGAGTTGTGAAGTGGCAGTAAATAGTAAGACTGTCCTCCTTGAAGCTCTTCTTGTAGAGAAAGTGGTCTCCAAAAAAGATCATGGCTTGGAAAAATAGCATGGCCTGGAAACTCGTTGGTGATGGATCCTGTTGTTATTGGTGTGGTAAACTCTAAGATTCCACCATTAGATGTTATCACCTTTGTCACTCCTTCTGCCATTCCTAGGCCTCCAAATATACAATTTCCCATGCCTAAAAAGACAAGAAGAAGAACATATAGCTTTTCGAAATGGATTTAGTTTCAAGGTAAATGAAACTTCTATGGTTTACTGAAAAAAAAAGAACAAAAAACTACTCTATTTGAACAAGAAAAGATAGTTGAAAGAAAACACGACCCTTCTCTTATAGCTCTAGCTTGGTTGTGGGAATTGAAACCTAAAGGAGGGAAAGTGTGAAGACAAAGAGAAAGACAATCTTGGGTGGGATTATTCTTTGGGAGTTCCTCAGTCAATCCCACTAAAGAAACAAAAAGAACAGATTGAAAAAGAAGGAGAAAATGGGACCACCATCACCGGCATTACTATTAGAAATTTATTGACGTGTAATTTACAGTTCAACTAAACGTTCATACACGGAAAGAAATGATTTTTATTAAGTTTTTGGTATGATGGATTGCATGCCATGTTCACATTACTAGCAACGCGACAATTTCCTTTTGATCATAGAGGGGGGGCCCTTGTAGCCGGAGAGAACATATACTAATCGCATTAAAGATTTCAGTCAACATTCATAAAGGGTCAATGGAGGAAAGCCAAGGGAACTATCATCTTTTGTACTTTCTCTTTATCAAAACTTGGTCCCGTCCCATAAGAGAGATTTTCGTCACCAAAGTGAAGGGATGCATCACCTTCAACAAGGTACATCCATCATCGCCTGGGATGTATCGATCCCAGGCCAGATTCAAGGGGCAGTTCAGTGATCTTCAAGAAAAACAAGGAATTCTTTATACATACAGGCACAGTGAAGTGGGCGGGTCCTTTTGGAATAGTGAGCCTTCTTTATACATACAGGCACACACGCTCTCCCACAAACAGTGAAGTGGGCGGGTCCTTTTGGAATAGTGAGCAAAGCACATTCAGCCACTTTCCCCAGTACATTAGGATGGTGCCTTCAAATTCTATTATCTGTTCAATTTAGTGGAATTTAGTGTATTCACAATAGACAAAAAAGAGATTCGAATTAAAGGAAAATATAAGTGTCTGGGAATTAAAAAAAAAAGATATATAAATGGAACACTACTGAAATCCAGGAAAGTCGAAACTCGAAAGAGCTTCACTCTTCCATTACTTATTTTAGAAATTCTCGAGTTTGCAATTGAAGAATTCTTAAATATTTTCTTCTGGGATTTAACTAAGTAGTATCGGGAACACTTGTTATTAAATAATTAAAATGGTAAATTAGCATTCAACATAAGGTTAGGATTTTCAATCTCAACGATTGTTTGTTCATTCATGAGTCAATCAAAATAAGAGAACATTAAATATACATTTTTCAATCTATTTAATACATAATTTGAGTTTATGAAGCATAATTAATAATCCTTAACGAGTGTGCTTCCCTAATTTTCCTGAAATCTAAAATTATCCTTGAAACATAAAGAATTGGGTTTTAAACAACAAAGGGATGAATTATGTCCTCATCTGAAATTAAATAGCAAACATCCTCTAATATTGATAAATAATTAAATAATCAGGGAATCGCTTCTGTTTGAAAGGGAAAAGAGATATTTTATGAATTGATTTTAGGCACAATATATGTTTTAAAATCACGGACGCCCTTGGAACATATAACAATAATTTATTTCTTAAATCACATCAACAAAATCTGGAAAAAAAAAAAGGATATTCTATTTAAGATTGACGAAGTTAAATTCAGAATAACGTAATTATTACATTATTTTAATCATAATTTAGTAGCTTTTCTTTTTTAAAATTACACAAGAAATCATTTGAAACCTTTCTTTTTTTTTTTCTTCTTCTTTTGTAAGATTTTGAATGTCATCTAAGAATGTACAGCAAGACCATCCACACAGATGGTTTTAACTTCAACGAATTGATAGAGACTGTACAGCACTAACTAGGACGTGATTGAAGCATAAAAGATGCTGAAAATCTTGGAACTTTTTGAACAGAGAAGGTTCACTCCTGCTGGCCCTCTTTTTCAATTCAAGACAAAGAAGTCCCTGTGGCCTGTGATTGAGGTAGAAAAAGATTTTGCTATAGTTATTTTTTAAAATTATTTTTTGTTTGAAAAATATATTAAAATAATATTTTATTATTATTATTAAAAATTTAATTTTTACATCAACACATTAAAATAATATAAAAAAATATTTTAAGACAAATAAAAAATTTATTTTAAGACAAATAAAAAATTAAAAAAAATAATTTTTTTTTTTAAGACAAATAAAAAACAAGAAAATAATAATTTTTTTGAAAAATGTTTTGAATCAAAGTACCAACAAAAAAAAAATATTGTAGGGTTTATCTCGCATAATCACCTTTTGAGCTGGGAAATTAGTCACCTATTTCCATATTGTAAGGTTTATCTCGCATAATCACTTGAGCTGGGAAATTAGTCACCTATTTCCACGTCAAGCAATTAAAATCTACAGTTCTATCTCACTAATGTGATACGAACAAGGAAATGTCGACTTGCTCAACTTTGTGTTTCTCTTGACTAATTAATTTTGTTTGAAATTCAGTTTAATTCCCATCATTTTCTTCAGCTGAAAAGAAAATTGACTTCACTTTCCATTTTTTCCCACTATACCTTTACACAGGAATCAATTTCTTTTATGACTAGCTACATGATATACATTTATTAATTTCCTACACAAAACAAAACACTACTCGCTTTCTTCAAGGATGGTTTCAAGCCCTGGCTGCCACCTTGATGAAGAGTTGACTCCACACAGAGCAACACTTTGCATGCCCAATAAGCACATCTCTTCTACTGATATCTTCTTGGATAGCAATTCTTGAAGCTGTTGCTTTGTTAGAATCATTTTAACTCTCTTTGAACCACTTGTGTTATCCATGCTTACTAAAGTAGGATGAGAATGATCGCCATCAACTCTAAAAGGCCTGCCCAAGTTCCATATGGGAAAACAATGATGTTCATTATTTCCATAGCCCTTGATGAATATAGACCTCGTATAATCCAAAATCTCTCCATTAGTCTTCATGACCCTTAAAACATCTTCATGCCTAGTTGTGGTTGACTGAGAGCAAGACTTTCTCTTGGTGAGTTGGTGCAAAGCAAAGCAATTGCCCATTGTTGTTCAAAGAGGTGGTGTAATGGAGAGGAAAGAGATAAAACTTTGTGTGATGGGGAAGAGAGCGAGAAGTTTTAAGGGGAGATGTGAAATATTGTTACGTCAAACGTTTTGTAGATGAAAAGGTTGTTCATTTGTTAAGGATTTGTAAGTGGGCATGTTACTTTTTGTTTTGAAAGGTTGTTAATTTGGATAGACAAGCTGGAAACTAGTAGCGTAATGCATGGAAGTATGGGACTAAAGAAAATCGTTGTATGAAATGTGTATAATACAAAAGGGGGGAGAATTTTGTCACCAAGCTTGCAATGCAAGCGATGGTCGGAGGAACTTGCGTCTTTTGGCTTTGCTCATTTGCACATCCCTCCATATTTACATCATACCTCGCACAAAAGGGGAGAAGTGGTAATTTATATCATCTGCATCATCTGTACAAATCTCAACGGATCAAGCAATTGTACATATTAGTGCAAAAATCTTCTGGCTACAAAAAATCACAAGATCAATATTATAACTTAAAAAGTAGGCAAATCAGTTTTTATTGTTGTTGTTATGATTATATGCAATAGAAATTAGAAAGCTTATAATAAATCATCGTAAGAAAATCCACTTGAGATCATTACCTTAAAACATGAATTAAGATCACATAAACCTAAGTTGCAATAAAAACCTATGTAACGTAAGTGATGATGGTCCGAACTCCATCACTAAGCAAATCAGAATTTAAGCATGTCAACCATCTAGGTG